CTTACCAAAGTTTCATAAACAAAAACAATCTCGCAAAGACAGACAGAGAAAAACATTAACAGCCTTTTAAAGAGAGAATTCTTATTAGGAATCAATCTTTACTCGCTAATAAACGCTTAACTTTTATACCGTATGTTCATTATTCAGCTCCTGCACCACACGAGTTCCATCAAAATCAAAAGGTCCTCTTTTCGCACTTTTTGGACGCACAATTGATGCACTTTCTGTTTCGCCACGTTCGTCCTTATCGTCCCCGCTTTCTTCCTCTTCTTTCGGAAGTTTCGAAGCGCTGCTGCTAGAAATTTTCATTCCCCTCATGGAACCATAAATGAGAAATTTAAAATCCACGTATGTCCTAAAATCCTCAACAAGAGCGATCACCTAACCTTAACGTTACAAAGCTTCTGGCTTTAGTTACTGCACCTCGAAAAAAACCAGAGGCAATTGTCCCGTATTCTTTAACCACATGAGCAGCACGACCGATACCGCTAACAGAAGATGCATTTGTAGAACCAATGTCACTTCTAAAAGTAATTATCAGTCTGATAGAATAGTTCAAGCAATAACCGGAGTAAACAATAAAAAGAACGCAGTCCCACTACGCTAAAAGAAAATTCTGTCTGCTGGGAACTACCGGATCTTGTAAGTTGAACAGAAGAATCTTTACTGGTTAAAGCTCTGTTGGTTTCTCCGTTCAAGATCCCGAGAGATTGGATCAATACCTCCATGATATACATTCCCAGGTTTGACAGAAAGTTCTTCCCTTATGGCATCCCTCCCATCTACCGCCACCTAAAAGGGAACTCCTCAGTCATTGTGATCACTTTAATCTTAACTCAATGCAACAAAAATTTAAAATTTGAAAGTAGACATCAATAATGACAAACCAAGTCATGAATATCGGATTCAACTTCATTTTTCTGCATGTTATTAGTCGATGGTAAATTTTCCTTTGAAGTAACCAAAAAACGAGCATCGTTTTCATTCTTTGAAATACATGAAGACGACGGGGTTGGATAAGGTGTAATGCTGGCCTCTTCAACTGCTGAAAGCCTGTCATCACCACTGCTATGTCCCATGCCCGTCGCGGAAGTAACTTCCCTAAAATCCTCGCTTATAGTTATCCAAAGTCTTCCAAGTTAATTAATGCCGAAATTAAAGGCCAATTTAATCTGAATCTCCTGCAAAGTAACCATTTTGAAATATAAACCAATGTTCTTTACGAAGTGCCAAACTGGACCAAGCAGAGATCAAAATGACACTAACTTGAAAGAATGTTCATCCAAAATTGACGAAGTTATCTGGTGAATAACTCCTTGGGCATCACTATTTCTCATATCTTCCTCACCACCATCGAGAGAAACAAATGACGAAACATCTGCTCCCTCAGTTGAATATTCTCGTTTTAGAGAATTACTCTTATTTGCAGGAGGCGGAAATGGTCCACTTTTCAAGCATTTAGCTAAACTTAACCCCCTATCCAATGAGTTAGACTTTGCATGACCACGACAGCGAGCAAAGTTTGCTGAGGTAACAGAGTCGTTGCTGTAACCGATGTCATAAAAAAAAATACTCTTGCAGAAAAAACACAACCAATTCAAGAGAACTTACGAAATGGAAGACCCTTCCTGATCATTGATTTTGTTCAACTGATGACGACTGCAGTTAGATGAAGGGCTATAAATAACTTGTGACAAGAAGCTACTCAGAATGCAAAAGTGTAAATGATTACCTGTCTGAAGCTCCCGCGATCACTTGCGTTGGAAGAGCAGCAGGTAAACGAAGTGCTGGATTCCTTGGAGGTAGAGGAGGTGGTGTGGCGTTGGTAGGTGGCAGCTGGACGGCAAACTGTGGAGCTGGACAAGGAGATAAAGGCAAAGGAGGCGGTGGACGGGCAGGGGGCTTAGAACTAGTATCATTATCGTCTCTAGAAGGGACTTGTGGGGCTTGGACTTCCTGAACTACAATCCTTGAGCTGAAAGTAACCTGATTCATCATTGCAAAAAAGTCACGCCGAGGCAGTCTTTACAAATATACCGTTCGAAACAGGAGTTTAGCATGCAAGAAAGAAACAAAATAGTACCTGGCATTATCGTTCGCAGCGCATTCATTCATTGAAAATGCTTTAGTGCTTATCGAATCGGCCGGAAAAAAGGGGCCAACTGTTAAAGCTGAATGTTCCATTATCAAATTCCTCCCCCAAGATGCTAAAGACGCACTCCCACTGGTAGATCCTGTTTCATCCTCCAAAGATGTCAAATTACTTTGTAAGATACCTCCAAATTCCTTCTGCATTTTGCCTCTTAAAATGCTCAAACGACTTCGTCTCGAAACCGATGCAGAATCCTTTAAAACAGTTAACACCTTATAAACAACAGACTGCAACATTTTTTCAGATATTATAATGGCTAATTTGATGTCTCAAGATGAAAAACAACAAAAACCTTGTTAAGCTGAGGCGTTAGCGAAGGAGGAGTTGTGAGATTAACATGGGCCGATGTTGACGGTTGTGTTTGTACAGCGTCTGGACTGCGCAAAGCATGTTCGGTCCTGGACAATAAAAAGTTATTTCCACTTTCCCCATTTGCAGAAGTAACTCTATTTACACCATTCTGAGGAGAAATCAAATGTGGAAGGGGGCCCAATTCGTCCTCAGCATCTTCATATTCATCGCTACTAGAAGTCGACTGCTTGTCTAAACCTGACATCTGACAAACCCTAAAAATACTAACTACATAAAGCAACAGCGGAGAACTTTTAAAAAAAAGCATTGTTTTTGAAGTCAGCAGAGAAAACAACCGACATTTTGGCAGTAAATGATATTTCACTTCAAAAAATAGCTAACAGCTCTACAACCAAAGTTCTAAAAAACTTTGCCAGTAATCTTCAGATAACAGTGGGATGCTCAGTGATATCCAGAATTGAACAAAGACATAAACTTTATCACGACGTACTCTACTTCTTCCTCAGAAAAAAATAAATAAAATAAATGAAAAAAATAACCTGAAAACTGAACCTCCCAGTCAGGAAAAAAAATATAAACCATTTTTGAACGACACAGTCAATTAACTTTTGGACCAGAAAACCACGCATACCAAAAAACTAACTGAACGAGACAAATGCTTTTCGGCTGCAAAACACAAAAACCAACCAGGGATCAAAGATCGGCAAACAAACCCTACTGACTAACAACTACACATTACAGCACCGATAATAGTGCTGTCATTATTGCAACGGCTTGATTTACTCATATTCAATGCTTCACTGGAGCCAGCAGTTTTCTGGGTGAAACCACAAAATTTTACTGGACTGGGCAAACCAATAAGCAACTTTGGAAGTTTACGACAATATACATATCTCTTAATTATAAAGAATGTGAAATTCCTCTATATCTTGACTACTTAATACGATTATTAAACACGACTAGGAGCAACTGAAGATTTAATTCATAACTTTATTGTTTAATGACTAATATTAGTTGTTTAATGATGAGTGCGTTCTAAACAATGTGTAAACTATCCAAGCCAAATTAAGAAAAACAGTTAACCATCAGTGCACAACGGCAAGCAATACATGATATACCGCACAAATTTCCATACTGTTCTGAAAGTTGCATGTAAGGGCAACCAGAGAAGTACCATTTCAGAATAAAATACACAAATCAATACTAAACAACATCTCGGTGTTGTTAAAGGGCCTTAAAAAGTTCAAACAACCAATTACTGTGCATCAAACAAAAGCTCTTCACAACTATCCTGCTGAAAAGCTCGCATTTATATATAAACCAAACTACCCCAAGGCAACAATCTGAATAAAAAAGTTTGCCGCCAACATAATCCAAATATTGTTCTCACTGTCTCAAAACACTGCAATCCCGCCACAACTACGGATACTTTTCAGAAGAAACTGCCATACTGCCTTTCTTAATCGGCATCTATATCATATCAGATGGGCCCAACCCATTAAGATTTCAAGGTAATTACTTCTTGCCAAAAGCGAAATCATCTTACTGCACTTAGTGATCTTTTGAACAAATAACGAAAACAGTTTTGCAGCCTAACAAAGCTTCTAGCGCTCCTGCGACCTCACTTAACTTTCGGCAACACCTTCCTGCCGAACAATTTCGAATGACTACAGCACCCAAAGGCCTTTCATTTCAGACAAATTCTTCCCTCCCGTGACTACCTTGTTCCTGAAAAGACCTTATTCAAAGTATGCGTAGCTTCTACGTACTGACTCTCCCACCAACCGTTTTATAACCCGCGTTCGGCCTCTCATGCATATTTAATGTCCTTTCATGATAGATTCACCTATACTGTGGTTTTTACTGGACTGTACGCTAATTCTGAATCGAGCCTTCCCTATGCCCGACTTATCCATTCACCAGTTTCACTCTTCGCACCAAACTTTGCTATTTAATTACTGGTTACATGGAAGTTCATCGCACTTAGGCTAAAACCCTTTCAAGCCAGCATGACTGGTTCTGCAGCTGAGCAAACAACAAGACAGCCTAAAAATAAAATTGCTCTAAAATGCTCCCTTGCCATGCGTTTTCTTCTTCAAGCAGTTTGTGACTAATTGGTTACAAAATCGTAAGTTTCCACCAGATTGCTATTTGAGATATATAACAAGGCAATGGTGAAGAATCTTCGAACAAAAAAGTTTAGAATTTTATTTCATTTACAATGACAACTTATCTTGACAAACTGTAGTCTAAAACACACGTAGCTAACAAGAGGAGAATAAAAAATGTAAAATTAAGTCTTGGACAGGCAAAAAACTAAGAATACACTAACAAGGACTTTTTTTAAAAACAATGAGCCCTTAAACTGCGAAGTCAATTGGATGTTCGAGAAAAAAAAAAACTAACTGTCAATATTCATAGAACTGTACACTGCTCTGCATTTCCCCGCCTTTCTCTTGCTTTTTACAGCGTAGCATCCAAAAAAAAAAAAAAGTTGAGTAATAACTCATTCGAGGAGTGTGGATCACAAGTCAGGAATAACAAGTCCATCTCAAAATTCGACCACCAATGATACCGTTCATCGTAAAAGATTCAGTAAGCAAAATGGTTATCAAATGTAAAAAGATTGAAAAAACTTAAGAACACTGTTGAAGACGAATTCGCAACTGAAATGAACGATTTTTGACAGTACCAATAGCAGAGAGTCTTGATAACTGTAACGCCTGAAGATCAACAATCGAATGCGAGAGAAATTTAACTTATGCATTCTTTCTTGTACCGCTTCCCAACGATGAGCACTTTAAAAAGGAAAAAAGTGCTGTTCCATCAATACGAATCGATATAAATAACAGGAGATTTACCACTAGTATGAGTATAAGCTAATATATATTCAAATATGTTAAAGATATATTAAAATATAAACGATTAATAAAAAATTTTCCACTCAGCTATAAACACCTTCAAAGAAAAAAAAATCAAATTAAAGAGTTTAGAAATAAGATCCGTTAAGCCTCATCATTTTCAGAAAGTATAAAAAAGTTGAATCAGCGCTGCAAAATATTATAAATTAATTAGTTCCCATTTAGTGAAACAATAAGATTCCTCTAGCAGCAAAATCAAAACGTTTAGTTTGGTAGATTTCTTAACAACTTTCAGTCCATCAACCTCAAAATTAAATCCGTAACAAACAAACAAAAAAAAACTTTTATGAAAACCAAAACATGCAGTTTTTGGAGGACTAAAAAAACCAATACGTTAATTCTGAACAATACAGGAAAACCCGTGTAACTAACCTCAATCACCATTAGGAAAAAGTACATTACTTTTAGTGCTGATGATCCTTGCATAAAAACTTCAAATATCTGAAATATTTGCATAGAAAATAATGTCAGCTAAACAAAGGTGCTGTTTCAAAAGCAGCATTACAGCAGTCTCAACATTTATGTAACCTAAGGTTCATCACTAGCGTAAATTTGTTCCTTCACAAAACTGCAGAAATGTAAGACAAATAAAAGTTTTTTCATAGCTAAAAAAGAGGCTGCTTTCAACTCATGCACAACTGAAGGAAAAAAATTATAACAAAATTAAAGAGAAATAAAACTGGCAGATCATACTGAAAATGATATGAATTTCTCAAACAACTGAAATTTTTACGACAATTTTGCGCTGAAACCAACGATCGCGCTGATAGTTGTACAGAATACCTTAAATAATGTCGGTTAGTTAAAAGCTAAGCGAGTGTGCCGAAAAAGCTAAAAATTCCAATTTTTAATCCGAAGGACAAGAGATAATTTTTCTCGCAAAATAATAATTATACAACAGAATATTTCCATTACTTGTAACTCATATAAGTAGCCAAAGATCCCCAATATTCAAAGAAAGCCATGAGTTTGACAAGAAAAGTGTTTGACTTTCGTCATAGAACGCAAATTATACTACATTGCATAATACACAATAGCCAACGTAGTTTTACAGAGAAAATTTACAGAAAAAAAGCAAAAAAGCTTTCAAAAACGACAAGTTTCAAGGAGCACAGAGGTCTCAATTACCACTTTATTATTCTCCGCCTTATAGGCACAACAAAACCAGAAAACCCATGCCGTTTAAATAACTTTCAAAGTCTCGAAAGTGCTGAAGTCGAAAAAACTGTTTAACACTCTTCATATATTCAAGATTTTTTAGTTTCACAACCCTTATGGAATAACCTAACAATAGGGACTTGAAGACACGATATACTAAGCAAAAAAAATCTAGTGAAGTGAAGTTAAGTTTTCAGACTGCTGCAAAACCGAATATCTTCGAAACTTCCTCGAAACTCACTCAGATCTATCCTAAATAATGCCTTCTTCTAACTGAAAACCCAAACCAATCTTTTAAAAGCATAACAAGCCTAGAAAAAAAGCCAAGCAATTCCACAAAGGAACTGATGGCATCTTCTAACTGTCAGCTAAACAGATTGTGAATTAACGAAGCACCGGCTTCTAACTAAAGATTTATCACTGAAAACAACAAGAATGGTTAACTGTAAATAAATATTGAAATTCGCTTTTCTTTTCAGTATGTTTTACATCTAAAACAAGCAATAATGGTCATGTTTGATTTAGCTTTAGCTTCATTACAATTAATTAACAAATGATGAAGGCCTCGGCAACTAAAAATAACTGCTGAATTTTTTCGAAGTCAGCATTTAACACAAGTAACAAGAATAAAATTTCTGTAGTGAAAGCAGTAGCCTTTAATCCTAAAAGTTGAAACATGAAAAGTCACTTAAAAAGATCTGCCGGAAAAAATTAAAAGGCATGCTATAAATTGGTTTCATGAAATTTTTATGAGTTTCATCACCTGTAAATCAAAAAGGGATGTTAAAAAACAATAAGTATAGAACGCCTTGAGTTGCTGTACACAAATATACATACAGGTACTGTTCCGTTCTAAGGCGGCAGGATTGAAAGTTGTATAAAGCAAAAAAGGACCCAATCTTTCTATGGCTCGAATATATCATGTCCAGTTATCAATGGAACAACTACATACGACGGAAATAAATAAGATTGTTTGAGGTTTTAAACTACTAAAATACATGAAAAGTTTAATCAAACTGAAATATAAAAAAAAGGGAACTTAAAAAGAAACATAAGTGGGTTTTTTTATGATTCTTGTGCAAAATGAAACAAAAGTTCGCAGGCAAACGTATTTTTTGGCTAGAAAAATAAGTTCGATTTTTACTGGTTGAAAATCCATCTTAGA